AATGATGTCAATTAGCCTATCAGAAGATTCTAAAGCCTTGACATCATTTTCTGGAATTTTCCAAGCTGTTTAATGGCACAGTCAACTTAGTGTATGTAAACTTCTGACCCACTGGAATTGTGATACAGTGAAAATATATAAGTGAAATAATCTGTCTGTAAACAATTGTTGGAAAAATTACTTGTGTCATGCACAAAGTAGATGTCCTAACCGACTTGCCAAAACTATAGTTTTTTAACAAGAAATTTGTGGAGTGGTTGAAAAACGAGTTTTAATGACTCCAACCTAAATGTATGTAAACTTCCGACTTCAACTGTATATTAAAGTGGCCAGTGATTTCTAATCGATGTATATTTTAGCAGCCTCTAATGTGCTAGTGAAGGCTATTTAACAGTCTGATGTCCTTGAGATAGAAGCTGTTTTTCAGTCTCTCGGTCCCAGCTTTGATGCACCTGTACTGACCTCGCCTTCTGGATGATAGCAGGGTGAACAGGCAGTGGCTCGGGTGGTTGTTGTCCTTGATTATCTTTTTGACCTTCCTGTGATATCGGGTGCTGTAGGTGTCCTGGAGGGCTGGTAATTTGCCCCCAGTGATGCGTTGGGCAGACCGCACCACGCTCTGGAGAGCCCTCCGGTTGCGGGCGATGCAGTTGCCGTACCAGGCGGTGATACAGCCCGACAGGATGCTCTCAATTGTGCATCTGTAAAAGTTTGTGATGGTTTTAGGTGCCAAGCCAAATTTCTTCAGTCTCCTGAGGTTGAAGAGGCGCTGTTGTGCCTTCTTCACCACACTGTCTGTGTGGGTGGACCATTTCAGTTTGTCAGTGATGTGTACGCCGAGGAATTTGAAGCTTTCCACCTTCTCCACTGCGGTCCCGTCGATGTGGATAGGGGGGTGCTCCCTCTGCCGTTTCCTGAAGTCCACGATCATCTTCTTTGTTTTGTTGACGTTGAGTGAGAGGTTATTTTCCTGGCACCACACTCCCAGAGCCCTCACCTCCTCCCTGTAGGCTGACTCGTCATTGTTGGTAATCAAGCCTACTACTGTTGTGTCGTCTGAAACTTGATGATTGAGTTGGAGGCGTGCTTGGCCACGCAGTCGTGGGTGAACAGGGAGTACAGGAGTGGGCTGAGCATGCACCCTTGTGTGGCCCCAGTGTTGAGGATCAGCGAAGTGGGGGCACCTCGTTAGGAAGTCCAGGACCGAGTTGCACAGGGCGGGGTTCAGACCCAGGGCCTCGAGCTTAATGATGGAGGGTACTATGGTGTTGAATGCTGAGCTATAGTCAATGAACAGCATTCTTACATAAGTATTCCTCTTGTCCAGATGGGATAGTTATGTACTGGGCTGTACGCACTACCGTATGTAGCGCCTTACGGTCGGATGCCGAGCACGGGCCCCCGTGTTGAGGATCAGCGCGGCAGATGTGTTGTTGCCTACCCTTACCACCTGGGTGCGGCCCGTCAAGAAGGCCAGGATCAAATTGCAGAGGGAGGTGTTTAGTCCCAGGGTCATTAGCTTAGTGATGAGCTTTGTGGGCACTATGGTGTTGAACGCTGAGCTGTAGTCAATTAACAGCATTCTCACGTGTTCCTTTTGTCGAGGTGGGAAAGGGCAGTGTGGAGTGCGATTGAGATTGCGTCATCTGTGGATCTGTTGGGGAGGTATACGAATTGGAGTGGTTCTAAGGTTTCTGGGATGAGCCATGACCATCCTTTCGAAGCACTTCATTGAAACATGTAGGTATTACAGACTCGGTCAGGGAGAGGTTGAAAATGTCAGTGAAGACACTTGCCAGTTGGTCCGTGCATGCTCTGAGTACACATCCTGGTAATCCATCTGGCCCCGCGGCCTTGTGAATGTTGACCTGTTTAAAGGTCTTGCTCAATTCGGCTACGGAGAGTGTGATCACACAGTCGTCCGGAACAGCTGGTGCTCTCATGCATGCTTCAGTGTTGCTTGCCTCGAAGCAAGCATAAAAGGCATTTCGCCCGTCTGGTAGGCTCGCGTCACTGGGCAGCTCGCGGCTGGGTTTCCCTTTGTAGTCCGTAATAGTTTGCAAGCCCTGCCACATCCGACGAGCTTTAGAGCCGGTGTAGTAGCATTAAATCTTAGTCCTGTATTGAATTATTACAAGTCCATTTACGAGTCCATTTACGGATAAAAATATCAGAATTTGGCTGCCTGTCTAAACGCAGCCAGGGACAAGTGAATATAAGTCAGTTCTTGTGTTCGTAGCGGTTTCTATGAATTTGAGTTGTTACATACACTACATGTTAAATGGCTATGAGACAGAGATAAGGAGACTCTTGCTGTAATCAAAGGGAAGGTACCACTGAAGGCCCCAGTATTCAGGCAGGCAGCTTGAAGTAGATGTGTATCACCATCCAGGCCCTTGTCACAGTGGCCTGATAGGGAGATGACAATAAATACATTATGTACGTTTCACCACCAAAGCCGCGTTAGCATTTACTGCACATTGCTGAACAATCCAAACATTTTGTTAGTGTCATTAATATATAAATGGGCAATTCAAATACAATATCCACTTCATAAGCATTGACTGTAATACCTCTAGGGTCCTTTGGTGGTCTGGCAGCATGCTACTTTCTAGTGATTTTGCAGTGAAATTGGGAGGGGCATTTTACAGTCACGAATTAATCAATAAACAGGCAGTGGAATGAAGTAGTTTGTAAAGTCAGTAACAAGTCTTTAAAATATAGCTTCAATTATATATTTTTGATTTTCTAGAAACTTAGCTAACATTAGCTACACTGCAGTGATGATGGTGTGAGTTAGCTAGCTAACTTTCCCCCAGCAGTTTCAATTTAGCCATCTAGCTAGCTAATGGCATTTATAATCAACTTCATCAATCAGATGGTTAACTAACTAGCAAATATATTCGTTTTCCCCTCACATCTAAAGCTGCCAGTTGATAGTAAAGCTAGGATGAATCTCAAAGGCCAGCTAGCTAACGCAATAGCAGCTGTCAATGCAATGGCTGGTCTGGAGTTCGTCTGAAATGTACCATTATATTTGACATGATAAGCAAACTACTGTCATGCCTTTTCACAAAATGTTTTGACTAACACAGATAAAAGAGACGATTACTTTCAAGTAGATCGTTTTCGTTTCATTTACCTCATCCTCTCTTGCTCATGTGGGGAGCTACTTCCTGAGATTTGATTGATGGAACAATCCAGCCAATGGTTAGGCGGTTGTGGTTTTGGCAGAAGGAACTGATTGGTCAGGAGTAAAAGGTCCTGCCCCCAGAGCGCAAATCACATTTTCACTTGCAAATATCTTTCTACAAACTTACAAAATGTTTACAAGTTTACGAATCTCTTAGTAAGGTGACAACAGTGACAGAACACCAAGCGCACGCAGATTCAAAATCTGAGTGTATTTTTGATTCACAGCAGAATATTCATACTCGTAAATGGACTTGTAATAATTCTGAAAATAAATGATACTCGCACATTTTATTGAATATATTCATATGTCAAGTTAAAAGTTTCCAAACAAGCTTGCAAAATGTTGTTACACATTTGCGAATCATACTTGCAACCATGATTCTCAATGTGCTACCACGAAATTCAAAATACAAACTCACGTAGTTCTGTCATCATTATAATCCCATATCACTGCCAAGTTATCCCTGTCAATGTAATTAGTGCTCTTTGTGTCTGTCTGCCTGTCCTTCTGAGTCTGTGTGTGGGCGTGAAGTAGGCTATAGGCTGTTCAAAAACTATCCTATTCATGCCCTTATGGCAGCTCGCAACTCCAGCCCAGATGTGTTACTTTATTTTAACAAGATAACTTTTAAAACCATAACTCTTTCATGAGATACAGTTGTTTGCATAATCTCTTGTTTGTTACTTTATTATAATTTTTATTTATTTATTTAAAAATATATTTATTTCACATTCAATTGACAATATATTGTTTTCTTATTATTATTTAACATTTCGCAGATGTGTTACCATGGTGCATAATGTTGTTTGTCAATACAATTTATTTATACCCCTTTTTAAATCAGCAGATGTCACAAAGTGCATATACAGAAACCCAGTCTAACACCCCAAACAGCAAGCAATGCAGATGTAGAAGCAGGGTGGCTAGGTAAAACTTCCTAGAAAAACAGGAACATAGGAAGAAACCTAGAGAGGAACCAGGCTCTGAGGGGTGGCCAGTCCTCTTCTGGCTGTGCTAGGTTGAGATTATAAGAGTTTATTGGTGTGTGTGTTTTGGGCACAGGAGGCTGGTGAGGGGAGGGCAGCACTATTATTTTTATTTGACTTGGTCCACACCCCCTCAATGGTCATGCTGCTCCCCCTAAGGTCATTCCCACACACCCCCTAAACAGTCTTTACTCTGCCTCCACCCCAATGGACATTTATTTATTCATCACTGCTACGGTTATGATGTATATAGTGGTGTTTCTATTTATATATATTTTTTATTACCATTTCCATTATTTTATTTCACTTAATCCTGCATGTTGGAGCTCGGAGCCTAAGATTTTCACTGTACCCTGCCATCACACCTGCAACCCTGTACATGTGACTATTAAAACACTGAATCTCATAGTAATGGCTGGAATGTAATTGGAATGGTATCAAACATATAGTAACCATGTGTGTGATGTGTTTGGTACCATTCCATTTACTCTGTTCCAGCCATTACTATGAGCCTGTCCACCATGTGGTGTTGGGGAAAAGGACGGGGGAGCAGATACATTACCCTTTTCTCTATAGTGGAAGTTAGTTTGATTCCATCTCCTGGTCTTGTGCCAAGTGCTGGATGTGCCCTAAAACAATGAGGAGAGCCTGGAGTCAAGCAGTGCGCCAGGACGGGTCTGGAGAACCCGGGTCTATACAGACGTTTGAGGAAGTTTCTGCTCAGCCTGAGGGTCATGTCCAGAGAAATGCGCCCTGACGGATTTATTGATTCGGGTTGCCTGACTGTATGGTTAGGCTACCGTCGACTGGAGAGAGTGATGAAGTTTGGTAAGAAGAGCGTCTGCGTGCTGAACGTGGACGGTACCCGGTATGCCTTCCCCCGCGAGGTGATCTGTGATTTCCCTCTACAGTGCGTGAGCCGCCTGCACGCCTGTGTCATGGAGAAAGAAGTCCTCGAGGTCTGCGACGACTACGACCAGTACAGCAATGAGTTCTTCTTCTACCGGAACGCGCAAGACACAGACATACACATGCACACCTCTAATAACTGGCTGGGAATCAATAAGCAATCAGAATAGCTACAACAACAAGGGGTGTTTTTGACTGGGTAAGTTAACTGGAACAGAGCTCTTTTTCTGATCTCTCTCTCTCTCTCTCTCTCTCTCTCTCTCTCTCTCTCTCTCTCTCTCTCTCTCTGTGTTTCTGTTTTTCATCCTGTTTCCCTCATACCTTCTTCTTCTTACAGGATTGTGGATCCTTACATTCAAATTCTAACCCCAAAATGAAAATCTAATCCAGGACAAGCTGGTCTTCCTGTGTCGGCCGCTGAACCTGAACGACGTGGCGGCCATCACACCTTACTACATCTCCATGGTGATGCCAGGCGTGGCATGGGGGTTGTCAGGTGTCACTGGGGTAACCCTGAGGGTTTTGAGGATAATGAGTGTGTTCTGGCTGGTGAAGCTGGCCAAACACTCCCTGGGCATCCAGATTCTGAGGCTGACACTATGCCGCTGTCGTCAACGAGATGGCCAACCTCGCCATCTTCCTCACCGTTGCCATGGTGATATACAGTGCCTTGGCTCAGCTGCTGGAGCACAGCCTAGACCCCGACGACCGTAACCTTAACGACCACAGTAACAGAGGGGGAGACTATACAAGCATCCCAGCTGCAACCTGGTGGGCTGTCATCTCCATGACCGTTGGTTACGGTGACATTCACGCTGTAACAGTTGGCGGGCGCATGCTGGGTAGGCTGTGTGTGGTCAGTGGCATTGTTGTTCTGGCGTTGCCAATCATCTTCATATACCACAGCTTTGTCCAGTGTTACCACGAACTGAAGCTACGGCTTCGCTAGGTACACACACACTCACAAACACTGAATACACATGCAGACACACACACATAAACACACACACACACACCCTCATCTACTACAGCTTTGCCCAGTTGAACTGATCCCTCCGGCCCCTCCCCCTGAGCATGGAACTTTAATGAACTGTCAGTGCTATCTGGGATCCTTGGCACGTCCTTACCCTAACCTTCACCCCTACCTTAACCATAAACTTTACCTAACCCTAACCTTGAGCCTTACCATAACCATTTAAAATGTCAACTTCAATGGGGTAGGGACGTCCCAGGGATCCCGGATAGCGTGAACCTTTAATTAACTAGTAGACTTTTGGACCCTCGTGTCTCCATCAATCCTGTGCCACGATCTGGAGGCAGGGCAGATAACAGAAGACACACACACACCATAAGCCCCTGTTTGCATCGTATCCCCATGGTGACTACAGAGACAGCTTTTCCCATTTGTGTAGGTTTCAGACTGAAATGAAAAGAGAGAGAGAGACAAAGAGAGGATAAGACAACCTGACAGAGATGACACAAACAGACAAAAGAGAGTTGACATGAGCTCAACATAAAGGATTAACAGTGTGTGTGCGTGTGTGTGTGTGATTTTCTCTCCATTTTCCCTGAGCAAACTACAAAGTGACAAATGATGGGTCTCTGGTCTCTATGGGCAACAGGTTTCTCGCTAGTTCAGTTTACTGTATGACTGTCAATCATAGCTGTGATGCTGCTACACAGACACACACACAGACACACACACACACAGCGCCAACAACTCCCTAAGGTCTTCAGCAGGCCCTATCCACCCCCAGCGACTGCTGACTTCACAAAGAATGTCATATCCGGACAACATGTGTAAGCCATTTCAGCTGTTGTTTTGCACCGGGTCGGGCCAGCAAGCAGGACTGGACACTCTGGTCAGGACATCATTATGGTGGGGTAGGGGTGGTGGGGCAGGAAGGAGAAACCCATTCCACGCTCAAAGGACTTTATGGTCAACATGGTGCTAAACCTCTCAAGTTCATTAACATTTTCTACTGCTTCTACGGTCTCCTTCAGTCCCCCGTTGGAAAACAATGACTCTCTTTTCTGAAGGATTACCGTTCAAATGGGAAACCTTGAAATGAAGCTCAGGAGGCCCTTTAGTGTTCATGTTAATGATGCAACTCCATATGCATGTGGAAAACACATGAGGGATTGAGGTGATAGATCGAGCAGATATTTGCATGTTTCATTAATCTTGTGGTGTGTGTCTTTGGGTGGGCTCTGTGTGCGTGCCAGAATGTTTCCACTGTGTCAGGCAAGGCCGAGATAGATCTCTGTGGATGTGTTGAACGGAGATGATCCACGTAACCACGACATTTGAAATAACACTGAAGAACGAAGGAGTCCAACTCAAAGGAGGAGATCCAAGATTTAGGTGGCCCCAGTAGAGTGCTGTGGCCCCTACGTAGTCAAACATGTGTGTTTATGTGTCTGTGACCCTATATTATTTAGAGTATTATGAAAGTGTGTGTGGTACGTGTTGAGGCCTGAATAGTCTCAAAGCCTTTTTAAATGTATACAGTATCTGTCCCCAATTGAAAAAGGATGTGTGTGGTGTTGTTCCATTGTAAACCACACAGCCAGGCAATCAGGGCTGATGGATAGGCCTACCCTTGAGAGGAGGCCTGTTAATGCAGAGGCCTTCTCTCCCCAGTGTGTCTGCTAGCCGGGGGATTACACTGCTCAGTTATCTCCTTACTCATCCTTTTATCCCACATGCACGCACGCACACACACACACACACACACACACACAGAAGGCACTGCACGCTTCATGATGAATGGTGGGATGTATGTGGGTCTTTCTATAAATAAAGGGGCTAATGAGTGACATCAGGGTCTTGCAGCTTCGAATGTGTAGAATAAAAGTCTATGTAGGCACCAGTAGAAGGGATGTGGCAAGTTTTCTAAATGAACTCTTAATATATCTCAGGTACTGCACATTGTGTGATGTCGGTTTTTGCGTTCATGAGTGCATCTGTGTGTGTGTGTGTGTGTGTGTGTGAGCATGTGTGTGTGAGCATGTATGTGTGTGCGTGTGTGTGTGAGCATGTGGGCGTGTGTGAGAAGGGAGGGAAAGAGAAAGAGAGAGAGAGAGAGCGAGAGAGAGAGAGAGAGAGAGAGAGAGAGAAAGGGAGAAAGACCAAGGTCTCTTTTACAGCCTTGAATTACATAAATTACAGAAAATACACACATCAAAATATAAATACAAAATGCAAGCAGAAAGAAAACACAGTCATAAAAAACAAACACATTCATCAGCAATAAGGTTCTCAATTAGCTTTCTGAATTGCCCTAAAAGCACCAAAACATCACATTTAAGAACATTTTGAAGATTGTTCCATAAACAAGGAGCAAGAAAACTAAAAGCTGATTTACCTAACTCAGTAGACACCAAAGGAATTTCAAGAGTTAGCCATCCTGAGACTGCGTGTGGTAGCTCGTATGTCTAAAATGTTGTAAAATGTTAGGTACAGTGGGACTTTTTGTAATAGTGCTTTATAAATGAAAACATAGCAATGTATCAACCTACGTGACATCAAAGAGGGCCAACCAACTTTCTGGTAGAGAATGCAGTGATGAGTACTAAACTTGTCGCCTGTAATAAAGTGCAGTGCGCTATGATAAACTGCATCTAACGGCTTTAATGAAGTGGCAGCTGTTTTCATATAGATGATGTCGCCATAGTCTAGGACCGAAAGGAACGTCGACTGAATAATCTGTTTTCTACTATTTAGCGAGAGGCAGGACCTATTTCTATTGAAGAAGCCCATTTTTATTCTCAGCTTCTTTACTAACTCATCAATATGCTATTTAAAAGACAGCTTTTCACCTATTCAGATGCCCAGATAATTTGTAAGCAGGGACACGATCATTATTGACACCATCAAAATAGTTATTTTTATGTGCTCTGAAGAACAACATATAATTAGTTTTACCTGCAATACTAAATTTAGGTAAATAAAGTTTTCTTGTAATACCATGAAATCGTAGGTAGATGGCAGCATTCGCGCAAAACTGAAAGTGCAAACCACCTAATTTAACCATGGCAAGGTGACTGGGAATATGGCAGAATACAAACAGTGTAGCTACTCAAAAAAAAATCAGTATACAGACAAAGTGGAGTCGCAATTCAACGGCTCAGACACGAGACGTACAGACAATTACGGACTACAAAAGGAAAACTAGCCACGTTGCCGACACCGACGTCTCGCTTCCAGACAAGTTAAACACCTTCTTCGCCCACTTTGAGGATAACACAGTGCCACCGACGAGGCCCACTACCAAGGACTGTGGCCTCTCCTTCTCCATGGCTGACGTGAGTAAGACATTTAAGCATGTTAACCCCCGCAAGGCTGCCGGCCCAGACGGCATCCCTAGCCGAGTGCTCAGAGCATGGGCAGACCAGCTGGCTGGTGTGTTTACGGACATATTCAATCTCTCCCTTTCCCAGTCTGCTGTTCCCACATGTTTCAAGATGGCCACCACTGTTCCTGTACCCAAGAAAGCAAAGGTAACTGAACTAAATGACTATCGCCCCGTAGCACTCACCTCTGTCATCATGAAGTGCTTTCAGAGACTAGTCAAGGATCATATCCCCTCTACCTTACCTGTCACCCTAGACCCACTTCAATTTGCTTACCGCCCCAATAGATCCACAGACGATGCAATCGCCATCACACTGCACACTGCCCTATCCCATCTGGACAAGAGGAATACCTATGTAAGAATGCTGTTCATTGACTATAGCTCAGCATTCAACACCATAGTACCCTCCAAGCTCGAGGCCCTGGGTCTGAACCCCGCCCTGTGCAACTGGGTCCTGGACTTCCTGACGGCCGCACCCAGGTGGTGAAGGTAGGAAACAACATCTCCACTTCGCTGCGTGGCCAAGCACGCCTCCAACTCAATCATCAAGTTTGCAGACGACACAACAGTAGTAGGCTTGATTACATTTTACATTTTAGTCATTTAGCAGACGCTCTTATCCAGAGCGACTTACAGTTAGTGAGTGCATAAATGTTTTCATACTGGCCCCCCGTGGGAAACAAACCCACAACCCTGGCGTTGCAAGCGCCATGCTATACCAACTGAGCTACACGGGGCCAACAATGACGAGACCGCCTACAGGGAGGAGGTGAGGGCTCTGGGAGTGTGGTGCCAGGAAAATAACCTCTCACTCAACGTCAACAAAACAAAACAAAGGAGATGATCGTGGACTTCAGGAAACAGAAGAGGGTGCACCCCCCTATCCACATCGACGGGACCGCAGTGGAGAAGGTGGAAAGCTTCAAGTTCCTTGGCGTACACATCACTGACAAACTGAAATGGTCCACCCACGTAGACAGTGTGGTGAAGAAGGTGCAACAGAGCCTCTTCAACCTCAGGAGGCTGAAGAAATTTGGCTTGGCACCTAAAACCCTCACAAACTTTTACAGATGCACAATTGAGAGCATCCTGTCGGGCTGTATCACCGCCTGGTACGGCAACTGCACTTCCCGCAACCGCAGGGCTCTCCAGAGGGTGGTGCAGTCTGCCGAACGCATTACGGGGAGCAAACTACCCGCCCTCCAAGACACCTACAGCACCCGAAGTCACAGAAGTCCAAAAAGATCATCAAGGACATCAACCACCCGAGCCACTGCCTGTTCACCCCGCTATCATCCAGAAGGCGAGGTCAGTTCATGTGCATCAAAGCTGGGACTGAGAGAATGAAAAACAGCTTCTATCTCAAGGCCATCATACTGTTAACTAGCCATCACTAGCACATTAGAGGCTGCTGCTGCCTATTGAAATCACTGGCCACTTTTAAAAATGGAGCACTAGTCACTTTAATAGTGTTTACATATCTTGCACCACTCAACTCATATGTATATACTGTATTCTATTCTATAATATTCTACTGTATATTAGTCCATGCCGCTCTGTCATTGCTTGTCCATATATGTATATATTCTTAAATTCCATTCCTTATAAGATTTGTATGTATTGGGTATATGTTGTGAAATTGTTAGATATTACTTGTTAGATATTACTGCACTGTCGGAGCTAGAAGCACAAGCATTTCGCTACACCCGCAATAACATCTGCTAAACACCGGTATGTGACTAATACAATTTGATTTGATTTGATTTGAAGGCAGTCTGTAGTTCAGATAGAGCCTGGTCAACAGAAATAACACACACAGCAGTATCATCAGCATACAAGTGCAGGTCATTTCTTTTTACAGACAAGTCAATGTTGTTAATGTAAACAGTAAAAAGTACAGGACCCAGAATCGACCCCTGCGGGACACATTTAGTAATATCCAGGAAACCTGATTTAACACCATCGGTATACACATTGAGTTCTATCTGTCAAGTAATTTTTTAACCAGTTAAATGCAGCCTGGTCTAGGCCAATTGAGGAAAGCTTCTGAATTAGCAGTGAGTTGTTAACAGTATCGAAAGCCTTTCACAGACCAATGAAGAGGGCAGCACAATGTTGCCTTTTATTCATACAGTTAACCACATCATTTATAACTAGGGATGCAGCAGAGATAGTGCTATGACCTGGTCTAAAACCTGACTCATGTACATTTCGAACATATTTAAAAGATAAGAAAGATCTTAGCTGAGAATTACTCAAGGATTTTAATATTTTAGCTAAGCAAGAAAGTTTAGAAATAGGGAGATAATTATTGAGGTCATTGAGGTTGCCTTACAACCTGGAATTAAAATGGATTTTTGGGGGGTTTGTATCATTTGATTTACACAACATGCCTACCACTTTGAAGATGCAAAATCTTTTTTGGGGTGAAACAAACAAGAAAAACTTGAGCGTGCATAACTAATCACCCCCCCCAAAGTCAATACTTTGTAGAGCCACCTTTTGCAGCAAATACAGCTGCAAGTCTTTTGGCGTATGTCTCTATAAGCTTGGCACATCTAGCCACTGGGATTTTTGCCATTCTTCAAGGCAAAAATGCTCCAGCTCCTTCAAGTTGGATGGGTTCCGCTGGTGTACAGCAATCTTTAAGTCATACCACAGATTCTCAATTAGATTGAGGTCTGGGCTTTGACTTGGCCATTCCAAGACATTTAAATGTTTTCCCTTAAACCACTTGAGTGTTGCTTTAGCAGTATGCTTAGGGTCATTGTCCTGCTGGAAGGTGAACCTCCATCCCAGTCTCAAATCTCTGGAAGACTGAAACAAGTTTCCTCAAGAATTTCCCTGTATTAAGCGCCATACATCATTCCTTCAATTCTGACCAGTTTCCCAGTCCCTGCCGATGAAAAACATCCCCACAGCATGATGCTGCCACCACCATGCTTCACTGTGGGGATAGTGTTCTCGGGGTGATGAGAGGTGTTGGGTTTGCGCCAGACATTTTCCTTGATGGCCAAAAAGTCTCATCTGACCAGAGTACCTTCTTCCATATGTTTGGGGAGTCTCCCACATGCCTTTTGGCGAACACCAAACGTGTTTGCCTATTTTGTTCTTTACGCAATGGCTTTTTTCTTCCTTAAAGCCCAGCTCTGTGGATTGTACGGATTAAAGTGGTCCTATGGACAGATACTCCAATCTTCGCTGTGGAGCTTTGCAGCTCCTTCAGGGTTATCTTTGGTCTCTTTGCTGCCTCTCTGATTAATGCCCTCCTTGCCTAGTCCGTGAGTTTTGGTGGGCGGCCCTCTCTTGGCAGGTTTGTTGTGGTGCCATATTCTTAAAATTTTTAATAATGGATTTAATGGTGCTCCGTGGGATGTTCAAAGTTTCGGATATTTGTTTATAACCCAAACCTGAACTGTACTCCACAACTTTGTCCCTGACCTGTTTGGAGAGCTCCTAGGT